TCCCCCAGGATGTGCCAAGAGTGAGGGGCACCCTGCAGAGCCTCAAGCAGCTGCTTTAGGCTGGCAGGGGAGAACGGTCTGAGCTGGACTCAGGCAGGAGCTGGCAATCCTGTCTTTTATGGAGACAGTCCCTTTAACTTCACTTCCTAGGGCTCATCCCGCACACACATCTGCCCATTTTCTTAAACCCCTCAAAGGCATTTTATAGCCAGCATCATATCTCTTTACTACTCAACGTTAGGATTCCTGGCTTCTGCCTTTGCATCAAGCATCCTGAACTCCAGCTGGCCAAGTTTTGCTCACGCGTGGCTGCACGAAGGCAAACATTTTCCAACCTGTTTGCTGACACCTCCAGCCCAGAGCTGGCAGCTCACTTCAACCAACTTGTACAGAGCATCACCACAAGCTATAGGCTGATGGGAGCTCGTTATCCGGAGCCTCAGAAGATGCTGTCAGCTGCAGCTATGCCCCCCCCGCCTTGCCTGAGTGCGGCCCCCTCCAAGCCCCACGGGCTGTGGGTTGCTGCCCAGGACCCCCCAGGCAGACCTTGCTTGCTGCTCTGGGGTGTGCGTCGCCTCAAGCTGTGCTCCAGCAGCTGGTGGGTGCGGGTAGGGCTGGCACCCGCCATCAGGCGCACGGTGGCCTCGTGGAGGAAGACCTGGAAGGGAAGGTAGGACCAGGGGTGAGAGGCGAGCTGGCTCGGGGGTGATGCTGCGGCTGAACTCATGTCATCCCTCAGCCACCGCATTTTGAGAGCAGAGTACTGATGTCTCTGACAACAACAGAGACCCATTTCTCCTCCCTCACTTTCCCACCTGTCTCTGGGGAATTTGCAGGTCAGGGCAACCGTGAAGAGGAAAAAAATAAATAAAAAAAGAGCTTTTGACACGTAACTGTGAGTGGCCTGGAAAGGAGGGAGGAACGAGAGCAGGAACAGGGTGGAAAATGGAAGAGCGAACCCCGGCACTGTGGCCTAGGCGGGCATCTCACTCCACGCTGGTGGTGCAGCACTCTGGTAACAGCATCAAACTTTGAAATCCAGAGTTTTGACAATAGCAGGACTACTCTCTTGTGCAAGTATTAGACTACACTTCCTCTAAAGAGGTTTAAAACTAGATAGACTAAACAGAACAGAAAGGTGGGGGGAAACCCCCAGAGAAGCACTTGGTGCTCTACAGGTGCAGAATGCATCTGACCCCCCAGCTAGCCGCAGGGCCAACATGGCTGAGGAAGCCTCCCTGGAGGGACCGACCCCGTCTGAAGCCACGTTAAGGGACAGGATGCCATGGTATTTCCTCGGCAATATGGACACGCTGATGGTTTTCTAGGTAGAAACTGAGGTGGACACCTCCCCACATGAACCGGACTCCCATGGGAATCTCCCTCATCACCCACCAAGAGAAAGCATGGAGGCTGCTATTGGCAGACCATCCCACCCCAAGTGTCCAAACCGCTCAAGCCCACACCCCGCCTATGTTTCCAAGGGCCGCAGCTTTCCCATCACCCCCCACCCCCAGGAAGGGGCTATAGCTAAGCCGGAGGTGGAGCGAGCAGAGGAACCAAGCCATCACCTTGCGATAGGCGGGCCTGAAGCCATGGGCCAGCTTGCGCAGGCTGCCGAGGTCGCGCTGGAAGCCCGTCAGCTCGGGGGCCGATGCGTGGTAGGGCTCACCCAGGGCCTGGCTGGCGGTCGCCTGCTCGGCCTGCTCCTGCCACAGGCTGGTGCGGAGAGAGAGCAGCAAGTCACAGGCCAGCAGCTGGATCATCTGCAAGAGCCAGGGGGGCCCAAGCACACACGCTTATTAACACAACCCATCAGGCGAGTAACAGGCCATTTGCTACACAGCTGCCGACACAGCCCACGGGAGAGTGGCCGTGGCACCTCCTGCCCACCCAGGGGGGCTCCCCAGCCCTCCCAGCCGAGCCGCCCCCACCACCATGCACCCAAGGGAGCAGGACTTCGCCTTTTGCCCAAGCGGTGTCTCCAGGGCCCGGCGCCGAGAGGTCCAGCCTAAGGAACAAGCACCAGGCTGTGCCCACAGAGCGGCTGTCTCCTCCAGGAGAGCCAACATCTCCGCAAGGATGACCCCGACCCCAACCCCAGACAAGATGTACCAAGGGGATATTGCACCCGCAATGCCCCAGCGTTCTGCAAAGGCTCTCTGGCCCAATCGGTGATAATAACTAGTGGGAAACAGCAAAGACAGCCTTGCTACCTGCAGAGAAAAATATAGGCAGTCTTGACAGAGCCCACAGCAGCCGCCCAAATCCCTTTTCCCCATCTGCTGCTGCCCCCTAGCATCGCTCGCCGTCCTATTTGCTCTTAGGGGACTGTACCCGCGCTGCCGAAGCGGAGAGTGCCTCTGTACTGCACTGCAGAAACATTGCACAGTTACTGCCACAACATGCAATGCAACTACAATGCACTACAGCTGCCACCCAGGAGCGAGAGAAGGGACTAGAACCGTGTCCCATATGCTATGCAGGGAAGCTCCAGCTTTAGGTAATCCTGGAAAGAAGAGAAACAAGCCCCACACAAACACAGGAATAGCACGGCACAGCCCCACTTTTGCGGTAGAGGGTTCAAACACTCCCGTGTGCTGCTCGAAACAGAGCAGATTCGACTTAATGAGGTGCTACTTTACAGGTGTCAGCAACTTAATTTGGAGGACGGAGATGGATACTTTCCGTGGGCCAAATTCGAAGCGGTCAAAGCACCAGAAAGGGGTGACAACTACTGGCAGAAGAGGAGCGAGAGCTCAGCTATCTGAGACCATGCCCAGGGAAACGATGTCGTAACTTGCAGCTCTGCTCCTCCATACAGCAGAGGCGGAAAGATGCCAATGCCCTTTGCAAGGAAAGGGAGGAAGTTCCCCCTCTACTCCCATCAAACACAGGATGGATGGAGAACGCAGGTACAATGGGGAAACGAGACACTTGCAGCAAGACCAAGTTTACACCCAAGACAGACTATGTGTTATCCTGGGGCTTATAGCTCTTACATTGTTGAGCACAGTGCTGGAGACGCCGCTGCTCATGTTGAGGCTGTTCCATAAGTGACTGCTGGCCCTCTCACAGTGACCCAGGGAGCTCTGCTGTCCATCTGCCTTCCCAGACAGCGAGGCCTGCATGGCTTTACACACATAGAAGGTGGCTTTCACCAGGGCATTCCTAAAAGAGAAAGCAAGCCCTGCTTTCAAGCAGTACCATGTCATGCTGCCACAGGGCAGCACCAGGAGCTGAGCTCAAGCAGCAACCGGCATCAGCCTTCACCTTCCCATCTTCAAGAGCAGAGATATTATTTCTCAGAGACAAATAGATGAAAATTGTTCCTCACCTACACATACTGCACAGAGAAATGAAAGGAAACTGGCTAAGAAGCTTTAACGCAAAAGAACCAAGATGGTCACACTAGCCTTTCCATCAGTGCCTGAGTTCTGTTGTTTGATTTTGGAAGGCAGGAGGTTGTGCACTTAGAACAAAGCTAGAAGACATCCCTAAAGAAGCAATTCTGACACTTCCAGTCCACAGTTCTATTATCAGCCTGCAAGCCTTGATCCACGCATCAATTTCTGAGCACGGTGCATTACTGCATCCCAGAACACAAGAGGTGTGTGACTCTGAGGCACAGGTAGGGGTAGCCCACAGGACAGGGTTTGGTGGAAGAGCTGCTCCTGTTTAGAAGGAGCAGGGGTTTGAAAGTCGTACAAGGCCTACGCACTCTGACATCTCCAGGGATTTCGGCATGCGCTCCACTTCTGCGAAATGCAACCTCACAGCTGCGTCGTCCCCTCTGAGCCAACCGATTGCCATAGTCACCGCTGCTGACCACCATCGGCACACCATATCAGGGCCTGTGAAACAGAATCACAAGTTGCAACCCAGGAGAGGACGCCCGGCTCCCCCTTGCTCGGAGAAGCAGGCAGGTGTCACATGCCCTTGCCAACGCCTTCTGCCAAGCTCGCCACTAACGAGCCCAAACTGATCCCATGGGAATGCAGCTGTCTGGGTGAATGCTGAAATGTGCTGCAGAACACAAAGGGACTTGCAAACACCCTACATCTGACTGCAGAGTTTTGGGTGCCAAGTTTGTACCCTGTCAGCAAGAACTTACCCCATCTACTTGTCCATAAATCTGTTGATTTCCTTCCTCACAAGGATGTCCACTCACCATCCAAAAGAAACAACTTTCTTTGTATGTACCGTGCCTTGGCACTGATCACCAGCAAGCTCGTAAATAAAACATTAGGTTCCCTGTAGCACTTCCTCCATTATTTAACATCCCCTCGAACACTTCCCAAAGTCTATCCAGGGCAAAAGGACACAGGCTCTGCTACTCTGAGCTGCTTTTAAATTTCATGACAATATTGACCCAAATACAGACTTCCCCCTATACAAAAAAATAATCCCTTGAAAAAGAAGTACCTAGTTTGCCTTCTGTTTGCCCTACACATTTTTAGGTACAGCACAGTCTGTGTCTACAGCTCCAGCAGCATTCCAGTGAGCTGCCAGGTGCTGCCTGTACCAACACCAAGCAAGACAAATACTCCAGCAGCTTGCTACCATCCAAGCCCAGATGAGTGCACAGCTCAGAGGGAGTCTACAGCTCTCATTAACCCACTAAAAATACCCCAAGGGACCAAACCAAGCACCTTCCAATAGATGCCCAGAGCTTGTCTACAGCAGAGGTTGTAGGTCTCTGGAGATTGAGGAATATATATGACAGCTGCTGTGAAAGTGAGGTCAACCTGTATTTGGTCCAATAGGTAATTAAGTGAGAAAAAAACCTTCCAGTACCTCAACTGCAACACTGCTACACCGGTTTTATATGCTACACCCTTCCTCTCACTTTGCATTGCCAGAAGCATGCTCTCAGGTGAGGGCACAGAGTTCACCTTGGAATGTGCCCGACAATACAAATAACAGCAGTCCGACCGGGGCACCCAGCATTACAACACACAGCTGAATTTACGAGCCTTCCCAACTACCCTCTTCCAGTCGGAGCCACCGTACCACACTGTGGCGTGCTGCTGCTCAGCAATCAAGTCTCACTCCAAGCACTGCATTTCTCCTTGCCTGGAGTTTGAGAGGTGATGGGGAGAGAGAGCACACGTATTGGCAGTAGTTCCTGCAGCTGGGAGAGCTTCGGTTCTGCCAGACTTACCCAGGGCGGATTTGAGTGCAGAATTGCTGGCAAAGGGTGGGGCTCCACTTCCCATGGAGTCCAAGAAAGAGTTGAGCAATTTCAGGTACTCCATGGCACTGGAGAACTCGCTGAAACAAGAAGCAAGGTACACCTTCGCTATGCTGTCAAACAGGAGATACCAAAGCCTAAAGGCATTTTTCGTCACTCACAAGGCATTTTTAAACAACGTTGACCCATTAAGCCAGGAGAAAGTTCAAGCTCTACCAGTAACACAACACTACCAGACCAAAAAGACCTCCCCAAGAACAGAAGCGCACAGACAGATGCTCAGGGAGGAGCAGCCTCACATCTCTCCATGCAAGGAGACCAGCACAGAACTAGAGTCAACCCCAGCCATCTCACCTCACAGAGATACTGGATGTGACGTATGTTACAAGTTGATTACAGGGTCCTTTTCTATCACTGCCTCCAAAAGAGGCTGAAGTATGTTTCCGTGAGTGACTATTTGCATATATGCAAATACATATGAATGCAAGTGGTAACAACGTTCACAGCGTTGGTCAGAGAAAGCAGCATAGGCAGCAATGATCTGATTTCCTAGGGGATGCTACAGAGGAAGATCCATGAGCTCCTACCCCCGGGGGCAGGGGAAGGCTTGCTGTGTTACTAAAGCCAGTCCTTCCCACCAGGAGATGGACTCCCACAAGTATACTGACTATCCACCTCACTTATACAAATCCTGCTACCTTCTCTCATCATCAACAGCAGCCTCTGATAACAAGCATTTGTACTGTGCAAGCAATTAGACTGAACTGCTGCTCACCCTCTGCAACAATGCTAGAAAACAGACATGAGATTGAAAATACAGCTAAACCTGTACTATTTTCCTTACATAGGTAGGGAAACTGGGTTATCTTCCCACGTAAGGCTTTTACCCACTCTTTTTTGGGACAGGATCCTTACAGAGCTTCCCATGTATTTATATAGCATTTGCCTGGCACCAGCTAATCTGAAGATCAGCTAGAAACAGTGCAGAATTGCTGGCAAAGGCTGGGGACGTGCAGTCCAGGAAAGAGCTGGATCCAGTTCAGTAGAAAAAGCTGCTCCAGTTCCCACCTACTGGCTTTTTTCATTTGATCACAGAGCTTAGAGGCCAATGACCATTTCAGCCAATATCACCTCTCCCCCTCTTGCCACGTGTCAGTTTGATTTTTCACTGCTGGTAAATGTGGCATTTCAGTTAGAACACTCTCATGCATAAGGCATCGAGCCAGTGAGGTCACTCTCCAACATGCCAGACCTTCACACTCATAGAGCTGTGGACGTAGGTTCTGGTCTATAGAAGCGTCAGGTGGACACTAATTTTCCTGTTCCTGATCATTAAACTTTGTCAGCAGAGAAACCGCCATCCACCCAGTTCAGGAACCAACCCGTTGACAGTCAGAGTTTCACCTTTGACTTCAGAGGTTTTAATATGAAAAGGGAGAGCTCACCCATGTAATAATAAGCTGCGGTGGTCAGACCAATGTTGTCATTTCAAGTCTTTAATAAGGACTAATTGCTCAATTTGCCCCAGAGCACTCAGTCAATGGTTTTGAGCTCTCCTTCAAAGCCTGAAGTTGCGGCAAACAGTCCCCAGCACAACACAAGCTTACCATGGCTCCTCCTCCTCTTGTCCTGCTATCTCTTTCCTAGTTTGAGGCTTCACGAGTGAATCCACCGCTCGCTCTAGCAGGTTCTCACAGAATGCCTGATGAACTTGTGCAATAGGATCCGCTAGAGAGGAAGAAAAAAACCACAAACCATTTCACTTGCATACAGTGATAAACATCTCCCGATAGAACCAAAAAGAACAGGGAAAATGTAGGAGCAAGAGGAAGAGCAGTAGAGGTAAATTCTTGAGGAATTAAAGCAAAGATTTCTAAACACTAAGTTTTCAGGGTCTTTTTAACCCTTTAATCCATTTACAAAGCTGCAGCCCTTGGCCAAACATCCCTCTGGCACTCCAGCCACAAAACCTTGATCACCCCCGAAGTCACCCTCCCCAAGACATTCAGGGCCACATCCAGGTTGTGTTCCAGCATATAAAGACACAAGCAGGACGACACACCACAGTATCCAAAGGGATGAGAGCCAGCTCCTGCAGGCTGAGGAGACATCTCTCAGCTCCACAGCCCCTCTCACCCATCAAGACCACAAGCAGGGTGGACATAGAAGAGCAAGCTCTCAAACAAGACACCTGCTTAAAGCACTAGGAGGTCACGCGCTCAGGACACAAGCAGCTCTCACCAGGGTTCCTTTGGGTGCAATACAGACTCTCCTTCGCAGCAGACTTCACTGTCCAGCTTCGCTCCACAAAAAACTTCTGTCCCAGGGGGTGGCACAGCCAACGCAATGAGTCAGGAATGGCACTCCGCTCCGAGCTGCACAGGCTTTGAGCCTGGCTTAGAAAGTAGCTCTGGGGAAAGGAGAGGCTAAGATTGAGAACAGCACCCAGGGAAATAGACACACTATCGAAGACAAAGGTCATACCATAATTACAGCTCGTATCATAATTGCAGGCCATATTGTAATTGCAGTGCTAGCAGATGCCCTGAGCTATGGCAACGCCAGCTTGCAGACCTTCCTAGAGTTTTGCTTGGAGGTGTGATGGGAGAGGAGACAACTCACCGCCAGGAAGCCAAGCTTGCCTCCACAGCGCGTCTTCAAGCCAACCGCAGCCGTCAGGTGGATTTCTGCCATTGTGCTGGGTGGGATCTTTTCTTCTGCGCACTCAGCCAGATTCACAGCACACAGGGCCATGTGCAAGCCCGAGTAAGCTGAGCTGGAGGGAAGTTTACCTGCGTCAGGAGGGAAAGGAAAAGGGTTAATTTTGAATGCAGTAGTACCAGCTACTAAATACTTCCGTGATTTGCAGGGCTACTATCCTAAAGAGACAAGAAGAACCTGCTGACATGAGAAGTTTACGTTATCGTATGCCTACTTTGTATTCAGGCAACAGAACAACCCTAACTGAGTCTTCTCTCCACAGATACCAAGGTTGGCATCCCCAGCTTCGCTTCTGCAAGACAGCCTTGTATAGCTAAACCAGTTAGGATAAAATCATCAGCAAATTTTGTCTTACTATATTCATCGCTATGTTAAAACTGAACTCCTTTGCAGTCCACACCTGTACCTACACAGATAGTATTAAGGACAAGTACTTATCCCTGGTGGCATGGCAGCAATTCACACAGCATGATGAGGCAGAAGGAAGTTAACTTGGATTTCTGATGTGCTTGGAGCCTATTAACGTTGCAAATTGGTTTGCCAAGGAAGTGGCAAAAACAACCATTCACAAGGAACATTCAAGCACTTCCTTAGTACATGTGCACACACCCAGGTTTTCAAAGCATATCAACACCAACTGGCAATCTGTGCTCTACACGGCTTCGGAAATTTAAATTCTTCCAGCAATTCACCCCAGCCCCTGCTTCCACATCACATTCCCAAGCGATAGGGATGAAACAAGCCCTTAACAGCAGCAAAAACTGACTGGACTCAATCAACTGCTGCTTGGGAAAGACTCTGAGCCACCTCAGCAGGCTCAGGAACACGTAACTAGAGATACTGCTGTTGCTTTGGCCATTCTTACAGAGCTCTTTTTTTGCACGAACCTGTCATGTTTTAGTAAGCAGTTCCTGAAATTTGTCAGGCTAATTCCTAACAGCAGCCCTCCCAGAAGGAGGCAGCCATAGTGCTCTCCCTCTATCCCCCACGATCAGCTATGAGCCTCCTCATTCGGCAAAACGAGGACAGCAGATCTGCCACCTCCACTCCTACCTGTTATGTGGAGCTGATGGAGCTTGTGATACGCTAGAGCTGCATCCCGAGCACTGGTCTTGGCCTCATCCTCGAAGCCTGCAGTGGCCTCCCTTGCCCGCCACTGATGAGAAGTCCTCTTCAGCAGCCACCGCACCAGCGCCAGCTTCTGCAGGCTGTAGCGGATCACGTTCCAGGACAGGCTGCAGGCCAAGTCCAGGCGGGAAGCTGGCAGCGCTCGGCCGAGTACTGACAGGCAAGTCTGCAGGTTTGACGCAGCTGCAGCAAAATCCCCCTGCAAATAACATGGCAGAAGGTTCAACAACAAAAAGCACCATCACAGAGACACTTTGGGACCTCTTTGGCACTGGGAACAAGACAAACTCATGTGCAAGCTAGGACAAGACCTTTACTGGGACTATGTTTGACTTCACTCAGCTAAACATGAAGGCAATTTACACCAGCTTCAAATCTGGCCCTACACATCTCCTTCCACACATGGCTCAGATCCCGCACTGCCTGTGAGACACATTGGCACTAGGTGAAAGGGGCTTCCTGCCTTCTCAAACAACATGGAAGTTTCATGGTCCTCATATCAAAAGCTAAACGTTGCCTCACAGAATCACAGACGGAGAAGACTTCCAAGAGGCTGAAGGACAGCAGACAGACGTAGCAGAGGCCAAATTCTGGACAAAACCCAAAACCTTGCTGCCAAAGACTGCTACAAGATGCAGCAGCAAGGAACAAGGACAGAAGTTAGAAGCCTCTTCCAACGCTGACGTCCATACCTCACTAATTTTGGCTGATGAAGGATGGCAATCTGCTCAAGACAACCTCGCACCAGCTTCTCTGAAATCAGACAGGATAATCCACTCGAGGAACACCTTGCTCTTGCCTTGCAACACTCACTGCCTCACTAGGCCACATTTACCCACACCCCCTCCTAGAAGATGCGTTTGATGCAAAAGGACAAGGCAACTTTACCCGTGCCAAATCCAGGTCTGCTTGCTTGCGATGCCTCCAGAATGTGACTGATGATCTTGAGTGCAGCCGAGTCACCGGCTCTCCATGCACAAGGAGCTTTATGAACACGCTCAGTACAATCACTCCATTCACGAGCCACAGGATCAGCGTGGGCATCATCCAGCCAAACCAACCACCTGCATCTGCAATGGGCGTCCCAGAAGGAAAGTTAAAAGTTAATCTGGACTCTGAAAGCCTAGCAACAGGATGAGCACAGACCCAGAAGGATGTCTTGCTGTGGCTGCCACATGTGGTATCAACTTTTGCAAAGACTGCATTTTAGTCAGGAAACACCTGTATCAACAGTTCTTCATCTGAACTCCAAGCCACAACATTCCCAACCAAAGAAAAACAGTTATTTTTACAAGATTGATTTATAAAAACTGAGTCAACTCTTAGAAAAATCAGAATACAAAGCACTCCAGGAAAACTACCCAATGTACCACAGGTATTCAATACCTCCCTGTCATTTTTCCTGTCTTAATTAAGTTGACAAAGCAACACCGAGGAAGCATACTTACCAGTCAGCGAAATGACAGCATGCCTACAGAATCCCCTGCGCAACCCTAAACTACAGTACTCTAAACTATGAATATTATGGAACAAGCATATTGAATAAGCCAGTGGTAAGACCCTATAGCAACTGTGTTTCTGAAGTAATTCTTCACCTTCATTAATAAGTTTTAAAAAAAAAAAATCAGTTACCTTAAAAACAAATACAAAGTGAACATGCCTCAAAGATCAGTGAGGACAGGAGGACCCCTTACTCTGAACTACTTTTCAAGGGTCTATCCCAAGAGCCCAGGCTGCTGGGCTACAAGCGGGTGCCCCCTCTACCTCAGCACGCTGAGCAAAGGCTGGTTTTGCTCAAGAAGAACACGGGATGTGGATGTAAACTGGAACTGTGTCAAATCACTCAGGACTGGATCTCCTCCGACATCCAGCCCTGCAGCTACCACCCCTCCCCAACCATTAAACAAAGGTCCTACAGCTCCCTGAACACACAAACCCATCCTACTAGATCACACCAACAGTCCACCTCATGACCTGCAGCTGTCACAGCTGGAGATGGTCTTTAGGGAGACCATGTAAGCCTGTCCCCTTTCTGTGGTCCGAACTATTCTAGTTCCTTACCCGACTCAATGGTCAGCACGTTCCTGCCAGACCCATGGCGCACCAGGCTGTCAGGCTCCGGGGTTCCTCGGGCGTCCAGGAGGGATGTCAGAGGATTGAAGGAAAGGCAAAGGAATGTGAGAGCACAGAGGAGTATTCGAGAGCGATCCACCATACCAAGGGCCACAGGAGGAGAGTCAGGCTCATCTTTAACCTTCAAAGGAATACAAGTGAATAGAAAAGTAAGGAGAAAAAAATTCCTTACCATTCTGTAGAACAAAAAATGCTTATGCCAAGCGCAGGAAGAAGGAGAAACAGAACATGTTTTAAAATTTGCTTTTAAGACCAAGATCAGCAAGAACTCCAGTGAAGCTTTCATAGCTTAGTAAGATAAGGCTGACATATTTGAGTGCTTACACCTTCCTTTTGCTCCCAGTCATTTCAGTTATCTTAACTGGATCCCTGGTTTAGGCTAGGATTAACCTTTGGTGCCCTTACTCTTTGAGGATCTCCCAGAAGACCCACTACTTTGGTGATACCCACAAAACAAACCTGTCAGCTGAAGACAGCTAACAGCCTTGTTACTGTGGTTACTTATGGTCTCATTAATCACAGCTGATGTCATCATCCATTTCCAAGTTCTCCTGCTATATATCTCTGGAAAGCCATGGGCTCTTTGGGTCATGAACATGCACTGTAAGTCCACAGAGACTCTACAGGGGCTGAAGGCTAAGTACAGTTCTTCTAGCAGCCAAGGTATGGCTCAGATAATCCAGCTCAGGAAGTAGTCTCAATCATTTAAGACAGATAAAACACACCCCTGCGCCTTCCTCGTCCTTACAAAGGACCTCTGACCCCTACAGATCTGCTTGCCAGATGTCTGCTGGTTCCACTCTTGAGAATTTAAGTTCTGGCCCTTACGTATCCCTGAAGTAGATGCCTTGAATTTGACAACTGAAGTCACAAATACCTTTGCGTCATCAAGCAGTGGGCTTCCTGGCTCTGAATCAATGGAATAGGGAGAGAAGCCAGCCTGGGACCCCGAGTCAGAGGCTGGAGGAGACATCAGCAGCACGTTCTGGTTGAAGTCATCTATCTTCAGATCCACATCGTTGTCAACCAGACTGCTTAGATCAATGCCCTTCAACAGCTCTGCAAAAATCAGAGAGCATTATGTACACGTTTCTTGATCCTGCATCCTGCCAGTGTTGCTCAGATTGGCTCTGTCACCCGGAGTAACACTGGCCACTATTGATGCACCGTGCATGTTATCTACCTCTGTCAAGCACAAGAAACTGCCAGAAGCATCCTACGTTCACGCTGACTGCCTCCACCCTGCTGCACAGTCTCCACAACTTACTGTTTTTTTGGTTAGCCAGCTTCAGAACCATGTTCTCCTGCCTCAGCTTGTGGTTGGCCTGCTGTAGGTATTTAATGTAATCAATGGCTTTTCTCAGGACTCCTGACTTGTGCATCTGCAAGGAATTAAGAAGTACAGAAAGCAGTTTATATGAACAGCGTCAAAGGGTCACTCCTGCTTCTAGGGATACCACAACACTTTGTGTCATGTGGTCATATAAAGAAAACGGTGTAAAGGACCGCTCAGCAGCTGCAGAGAAACTAATAGCGGGGCACACTCTGTGGGCAAGGTGTCAGACTTTGAAAGACACACAAGGACTGGGGTCGCTCAAAGATCTTGTAAAAATAGTACAATGGAAACAGATTAACATCCAAATCACAATAGAATTCACATCTAGTTTTCAGCCAGAAATAGTCCTTTGAAAGCACCATAGTTTTGAAATGAAGTGGCTCTCTTCTGGGATGGAACAAGCTGCTGTTTGTTAACCATCGTTCACTGTTTAATTCTGAGATAAGCGGTTCTCTCTGTGCCTCAGTCCCTTGGCCATCCCTATGAAAATATTTGCCTCCAGCAGAGCTTACAAACATAAACCCAAGGAACTATGAAGCCACTGCACATTACCAACACTTCTAAAACGAAAACATCCAGTTCCACCCAGCAGTAGGAGGTGACTTCACTAGCACACGTATTTGTATGGAGACATGCAAGGTATCAAGAATACTATTCCCTGCTCTGCCAGCACGAGGTGAAGTGAAT